TGATAAGACACGGGTAGTTGCTCCAATTTCTTTGCGTCTAGAATGTGTACTTTGATAACAAGGATGTGATCAATTTTAGAGAAGGTTCCATGAGGTGCCGAGAAGAAGGTATATTCTTTTCTCTTTGGGTGGAATGTTCTATAGATGTCTGTTAAGTCCATTTGATCCATTACATCTGTTAATTCTCTTATTACTCTGTTAAGTTTCTGTCTGGTTGACCTGTCCATTGGCGAGATAGGAGTGTTGATATCTTTTACTATTAGTGTGTGGGGTTTTATATGTGATTAAAGTTTTAGTGATTTTTTTTATATATGTGGGTGCTTTTATATTACATACGTAGGTATTCAGGATTGAGACTTCATCTTAATGAGTTGTTCCTGTTATAAATTATCCTTCTCCATCTCTTATTATTGATTTTAGTTTGAAATCCATTTTGTTGATATTAGGATAGCCACATCTTAGCACGTTTTGTGTTAAGAATTTGTTCAATTTAATGTTTTCTTTGGCCAGTGAGTCTGTTTCCTCTATAATATATTCAGCGCCTGCGATTCTTTCTCCTATCTCTTGTATTCTCTTGGTTATACTTGTCTCTGTAGTTCCTGTTTGTGAGCCATTGGGAGCAGGGTGGGTTGGGGGAAAGCCCAGCAGCAGGAACACATCTGCTGGCTGTCTAGAAAAGCTTAGAGAGTTTGGGAGGGACTCCAAGGTTGTGTACCAATGGGAAGGTCCCAGAGCAGAGCGTGGGGCATCCCTCTGTCTGGGCTTTTGGGTGCTGTAGCAGGCTGTGTTGCAGGGTTCCAAGGACCAGGTAGGCGAAAAGGCGTGTTTGGGGACAGGGTGGGTTGGCCCTGCAAATTTTATAATTTCATTTTTACCAGCTGAATAATATTCCATTGAGTAAATAAATATACCACATTTTCTATTTATTTCTTCATGGGAATCTAGATGGCTCTAACATATAGATATTATGAATATTATATAAAGCAGCAGTGAACATGGATGAAGAAGTGTCTTGGGATTTAGCATCATTTGGGACTATACCAATAGTAGTATAGCTGGATCCTGAGATAAATTGATTCCCATCTTCCCAAGAAACCACCATATTGATTTCCATAGTGGCTGTACAAGTTTGCATGACTTACTCCACATCCTCAGTAATGTGAGCCATTATTTGTTTTATTGATATTTCATTGTTACTGGTGTAAGATGAGTATCAATGTCTTGAGGTGAATATTGCTGATTTGCGGGGGTGGGATTGAGACAGGGATTCTCCGTTTGGTTATTCCTGTCCTAATACTCATTCTACAGACCAGGCTGACCTTGAACCAGATATCTGCCTGCCTCTGTCTCTAGAGTGCTGACCTACCAAACTTGGCAGCTGACTGCAGATATTAACATTTTTATTTATATTCTTACACATTTTACTTCTGTATCTGTCTTTAATTGATTTTTGTTTGTTTTCTTCGTGTCTTTTTCTGGTTATTTATGTATTTTTAGATATTGACCTTTTGTAGTACAAATTTAATTGATCTTAATTAATCAAAACCCAGAGTCAGATACAGGAATTAAAGCACAAGATCAGAGAAGCAGAGCAGTAAGCCACTAGAGAGACATTTTACCTCTGCTAATGCTCAGCCCAAAGGGACAGTCCTCAGACTGGCTAGACTGCACAGTGTCTGTACCAAACCACAGGCTCCAGTGAGCTCTTGTCATCTCCTCATGTACCTCTCTCTGTCCTACCGTATCACTCCTGTCTCGATATGCCTCCGTTTCTGGAATTAAAGGCATGAGATCCCAAGTGTGTGTGATCCCAGCACTTAGGATCACATCTTGCAATGCTGACATCCTGTTTCACCAGCACTGTTTGGTGAAGGTGCGAGTTTTTTCCTTCAGTTTGTGTTTCTGGCTTCTTAATTAAAGACCAGATGTCTGTGAGTGTTTGAATTTTCATCTTGACCTTCAGTTTGATTCCATTAGTCAATGTTTCTTGTGGGTATGGGGGGGGGTGTTAATACCATGCCTTAAATCAGGGATGGTGATAACTTTTACAGTTCTTTTATTATTCAGGATTGTCTATCCTGAGTTTTTATGTTTGCATATGAAGCTGTCCTTTTGAGAGCTATGAGGAACTGTGTTGGAATTTTGATGAGGATTAAAGGGAACCTATAGATTTCCTTTAAGTAGAATGGTCATTTTTACTGTTAACCAACCACCCCATAAACATGAGATCTTTTTAGCTTCTGATATCTTCTTCAGACACTTGAAGTTTTTATCGTACGAGTCTTTCGCTTCCTTAGTTAGATTTACCCTAAGATTTATTTTTTTGTTTGGAGCAATTGTTAAGGGTATTGTTTCCCTGATTTTTCCCCAGTCCGCCATTTGTCCACTACTCAGTTCTCTGTGTTAATTTTGTGCCATGTTTGTTTTATGGAAGTGTTTATCAGTTATAGGATTTCCCCATTAGAACTTTTAGGATTTTTTATATATATACTGTCATATCATATGCAAATCAAGATAATTTGACTCATTCCTTTCCCATTTGTTTCCCTCAGTCCCGTATGGTTATATATACAATTAGACAATCCTGCGTAGCAGTATTATACTACAAAATTGCAGCTATGAAATAACAACATAAATTTTTTTGAGATGGGGGGAGGATGAGGCAGGGTTTCTCCGCGTCACTGCCCTGACTGTCCTGGAACTAGCTCTTGTAGACCACGCTGGCCTCAAACTCAAAGAGATCCACCTGCCTCTACCTCCTGGGATTAAAGGCATGTATCACTACCGCCTGGCAACAGGAATTGTTTTATCAGTGTGGGTCACCACAACATGAAGAACTGTATTAAAGGGTAGCAGCATTAGTAAAGTTGAGAAACACTGTTTGAGACCTTCATGTATAAAGTTACTTAATATGAGATATCTCTCCAATTTCATGTTACAGAACCATTTCTACTGTATCTCATGGGTTTGGGCAGGTTATGTTTTCATTTTTATTCAATTCTAAAATACTTTTAATTTTCTTCTTGATTTCTGAATTAACCTATTTATTACTCAGTAATGAGGTGTTCGGTTTTTATGGGTTTCTATTCTTTCATTTGTTGATTTGCAACTTTAATCCATGGAGGCTAATAGGATACAGCTTGTTATTTCAATTTTATGTTTTTCTGCGGATAACTTGCTGTATGTTTGAGTAAATATTCAGTTTTAGAGGAAGTTTATTGAGCCTCTGAGAAGAAGGTATATTCCTTTGTGTTTGACTATTCTGCAAGTATTAGTCAGGTCTTTTTGGTTTAAGATGTGACTTAGTGCCAGAATTTCTGTTTAGTTTTTGTCTAAATGGCCTGTCTATTGGAGAGAGTGGAGTAGAGAAGTTTCCCACTATCAGTGAGGGTCAATAATTATGTTATCTGTAATTAATATGTATTTAAGTGGTTTGTGGGGTTTTTTGTATTTTTGTTTGTTCGGTGGACTTTTTTGTTGTTTGAATTTATTTTTTTATTTATTTTGTTGTTGTTGTTGCACAGGTATTAAGAATTCTAGTGTCCTCATGGTGGGCTTTTTTTTTCTTTGATGACTATGTAGTGTTCCTTCTGTCTCTTCTGCTAAGTTGTTATTCAAAGCCTATATTGTCAGATATTAAAATGGCTACATGGCTTGTTCTATGGGTGCCTTTGCTTGTAAATGTTTTCCCATCCTTTACCCTGAGGTGATTTCTGTCCTTAATGGTAAGGTGTAATTTGTGGATACAGTAGGAGGGATCCTGTTTTCTAATCCAGTCTACTAGTCTATGTCTTTCTATTGGCAAATTGAAGGCATTAAAATTGGGGGTCTTTAATAGGTAGCATTTCTTGGTCCTTTTATTTTATTCCATAGTGTGGTCCTCTCACTCCTACCCTTATTACTATACTATGGGATTATTTGTGTCTTTTGGGGTATGGTTAACATTTACAGACTGATGTTTCCTACTGTCTTCTGTAAAACTTGATTATTAGATAAATACTGATTAAATTTGGTTTTATCATGGAATAATTTTCTTTTCAAATCTTTTGTTGGCTAATAGCTTTGTTGGATAGTTTATTCAAGGCTGACTCATAGGAGTTTTTAGAGCATTAGTCCAGACCCTGGAAGGGGTGATATAGAGGTACAGAGTTTTTAGAATTCAGTAATCACTTATTCTCAACACCTTCAGTTAGATACTAATTTATCTTTTTTTTCAAATGATGTGCTTAAAGCATTATTTGTATTGCCTGTTTACCAAGGATTTGACTTCTTTGCTACTTGGGGCTAACAACTTGGAGAAATTGCTTGAGTTGGGTATAACTGTGCACACATTTAGTCCCAGTATTTGGGAGGCAGGACAGATGTATCTTTGTTAGTTAAAGGCTAGCCTAGTCTACGTGGCAAGTACTGACATAGCCAGGACTAGTAGAAAGACCCTACCTGAAAATAAAATAAACAAAAATAGGGGTCATTGCTCTTAACACTCTTTTGACTACTAGGTTGTAGAATGCCTTATGGATGCTGAATTGAAAGAGGTCTTCTCCAAAAGAAACTAGTATTCTTAACTGCTAAGCCTGATCATTAATAATTTTCTTGTTTTATTTTCATTTTTACTTATTTATTTTGGGGCTTGATCTTACTATCTAGTGTGCTGGCCTAGACTTTATTTACATAGACCAGGCTTGCTTCAAGTTCACCAGCATCTGTCTGCTCAATGCTGGGATTAATGGCTTTGAGGTTTCGGAAGGCCAAGCCAGACCCAGTGCCATCTCACTTTCTCAGCCTGTGGACCAGAAAGAGCTTTCAGCTATGCACCAGTGCCATGTATGCTGCCATGTTCATTCACAACACTGGACTATGCCTCTGAACTTAAACAAACCCAATAAACGTCTTCTTTTTTTAAGAACTGATTTGGTCATGGTGTCTTTTCACTGAAGTAGAATAATGACCAAGACAAAAAGATTTTAAACTTAAATTCCTTTGTTTCCTGATATTTTTAGGTATGAGTGTGAAGAATCTTTTACAACTCTGAATGTAGACATTAGAAATCACCAAAATCTTCTTGATTCTTTGGAACAGTATATCAAGGGAGATTTATTAGAAGGTGCAAATGCATATCATTGTGAAAAATGTGATAAAAAGGTATGTTTTATAGCTTTCAAGGTTATTACAGTATGTAACAAAACCAGAAGACTTTGGAGTTGCTTGTAGTTTTCTTTAAAATTAACTTCTGTCTCGTGTTTGAGTGAATGGTTGCATTGGTTGACTGCCTGATTGATATATTAGTCACTTTTCTATTGCTGTGATACAGCAACATTGCCAAGGCAATTTATAGAAGGAAGAGTTAATTTGGGCTTATGGTACCGTAGGGATAACAGTTCATCACTATCACAGGGAAGTAGGGCATGTGCTGCCTGGAACAGCAAGATAAGAATTCACATCTTAAATTTCAAGTTCAAAGCAAAAAGAGCAAAGCAGAAGTAGGCAAGTTTTTTTTTCTCTCAAAGCCCTCACCCCTAGTGATAAACTTCCTCCAAGATGACCATAATTTTTCCAAATAGCACCACCCCTGTGAACATTTGCTTAGTTCAGGAAAACTTGTTACTTGGGCTGGACTAGAACTATATAGCCCAGACTAGCTTTGAACTTAGACTCCTGCTTCAAGAGTTACCTATACTGGTATTTCAGGTATGAACAACTGTGCCTAGTGCTGTTATGTCTTTAATTTCCATTAATGGTCCCATAAAAGAAATTAGCATTCTAGCTTATGTATAGATTCGTCAGCAAAACAATATCATGACAAGGTGTGGCACACCCTGCTTTTAAGAAGCACAGACAGGTACAACTCTGTGAGTCCATACTCAACCTGGTTTATGTAGCGCATCATGCCAGGCAGTAATACACAGTCCCCATCTTTCTCCCCCATCCATCTCCCACCAACCCCATCCCAAAAATAGAAAGAATTTGTAGATTTGGGGGAAATGGTTGCTACCCAATGTGAATACTGGAGTTCAGGTTCCTAGAACTCACTTTAAAAACTAGGTGGGCGTGACCGCCTACTTATAATCCCACTGTGTAGAAGACAGAAACAAGGAATTATGGACCAAACTGCTAGACTAAATAGGCAGAATGGTGAGTTCTAGGTTCAATAAGAGATCCTTTCTTGATATATAAGGAAGAAAGTGAAGAAGCATCAACTTTGAGCCTTTGTGCATAGGCATCTATCTACACATACACATGCCCTCACAGATACAAAAGCCCACAAAGACATACTAATACATATATAATAAGTAATAGTTAACTGTGGTACAAACTTCAATCCCAGAACTAGCTAATTAATTTTAACTACATAGTGAGATCCTGACTCTGTAGTAATAGTTTAAAAGTGTTTACTCCAGATTACTCACCAAATCAAGTTCATTTGATTGTACCAGATTTTCACAACTCCTTTATTTTATGTACATTTATGGTTATTACATTCAGTCAATTACCTGTGAGCTTTTAGATTGTAGAATATAAAAACAGACTATGTTTAAATATAGTATACAGTAAATAATACACCTATTTCTTGACCCACATACCTCTTTAAGCTGTCTGTATTGTAGTAGGTTGGTTACGTGTGTAACATGAGGGGTCTGCTTGTTTGTGTTTCTGTCCCACCCTTTACCCCACAACTGTTTAGCCCCAAAGAAAATCACACATAGGTCTCCATAAATTATAAGCTGATTGGCCCATTAGCTCTAGCCTCTCACTGGCTAACTCTCACATCTTGATTAACCCATTTTTCTGATCTGTTAGCCATGTGGCTCAGTACCTTTTTTCAGCAGAGCAGATCACATCAGTGCTGCTTCGGTGGTCTGGGCAGGAGTGGGAGGAATCAACTTCCTCCTTCCCAGATTTCTCCTGTTCTCATTACATCATTTCTACTTCCTGTTTGGTTTTCCCACCTGAACTTCCTGCCTGGCCAATCAGCATTTATTTAAAACATGATTGACAGAATACAGGCAATTCTCCCGCACCATACGTGACAGTGCCTCATGTAGGAAATACGATTTTAAATTCCCGATCTACCTTGAAGGGGTGATTGGATAACAGTGACAATATGGAATCCCTTCAGGAATATCTATTTTGCATCTTATAAGAAGAGGCATACTTATTTAAATGTTTTGCAAATATTGTTGAAAAATGACATTGATTATATTCCATATTTGTAACATATGTAAATTTAGATGATTGATTTTTAAATTTTATGTATTGGATTTATATTTTCTGTTTTAGGTTGATACAGTAAAGCGCCTACTGATTAAAAAACTCCCTACTGTTCTTGCTATCCAACTGAAACGATTTGACTATGACTGGGAAAGAGAATGTGCAATCAAATTCAATGATTACTTTGAATTCCCAAGAGAACTGGATATGGAACCTTACACAGTAGCAGGCGTCACAAGACTGGAAGCTGATAGTGTAAATCCATTGACTCATTTAATTCAGCAGAATGAGCAATGTGAAAGTGTGATAGCAGGAAGCACAAAGTATAGACTTGTTGGTGTCCTTGTTCACAGTGGTCAAGCAAATGGTGGACATTATTATTCTTACATCATTCAAAGAAATAGTAAAGACAGTGAGAGGGGTCGCTGGTTCAAATTTGATGACGGGGACGTGACAGAGTGTAAGATGGATGATGACGAAGAAATGAAAAATCAGTGCTTTGGTGGAGAGTACATGGGAGAAGTGTTTGACCATATTATGAAACGCATTTCATACAGGCGTCAGAAAAGGTGGTGGAATGCGTATATTCTGTTTTATGAACAGATTAGTACAACTGATGAAGACAAGATGGTAACACCTATATCAAAGCTAACAGTCACAAGACCTCATCAGATTATGTCACCAGCCATTCAGAGAAATGTATGGAAACAAAATGTGCAATTCCTGCATAATCAAATGCAGTATAGCTTAGAATATTTTCAGTTCATTAAGAAACTGCTTACCTGTAATGCTGTGTACTTAAACCCTGCTCCAGGTAAGTTTCCTGGAACTTACATCCTATGAAAGTGGTATCTAGTGAATGATTTGAAGAATTTCTTACCAAATATCACAGTGCTTAAATTTATCTTTTCTATTTTTACCTTAACGTTTGGTGGGGTTTTTGGTTTTTGAAGAACAGTCTTTATTATGTAACTGGCTGTCCTGGAACTCAGTATGTAGACACACACACCTTTGTACATTGATTCACCTGAATCCATTTAATATGTCAGCATTTTCAGTAAGATCTATTTTAAAGTAAAAGTTGTAGAAAATATGGTTCTTGTATTTGTTAACACTGAAATAAAACTTTTATTTTTAACTTGAAATAAAACATGTCTAATTATGTGTTGCTTTTTAACTTAAAGGACAAGATCATTTGCCACCTGAAGCGGAAGATATTACAATGATTAGCATTCAGCTAGCTGCTAGATTCCTTTTTACAACTGGATTTCATACTAAGAAAATAGTCCGTGGCCCTGCTGATGACTGGTATGAGTATGAATTTCATTTTTTATGTGTTCTAACATAATTGGTATGTTTACTTTACTGTTTTGGTTCTTTAGGTGTTTTTTTTTTCTTTTTCAATTTTTGCTTAGGGTTTTGTTTCTTTGGTTGTTGGTTGGTTTGTTTTTCTTTTTTTTCAGATGGTGTCTCTTATGTATCTGTCTATGTCTGGCTGTCATATGATTCACTATGCACACCTTGCTGGTTTCAAACACCCAGGTCCCCCTGCCTCTGCCTCCTGAGTGTCAGAATTAACATTGCCCAGCTATATGGTTTGGTTGTTGTTGTTCTGGTTGTTGTTGTTGTTGGATTTTTGGCTTTTGTTTGTTTTTGGTTGGTTGGTTTTGATTTGTTTGGGTTTTGGGGGATTGAGACTTTTTTCATGTGTAGCCTTATACTAAGAACTTGCTTTGTATACTAGACTGGCATTGAACTCATAGAGATCTGCCTGCCTCTACCTCCTGAGTGCTTGGATTAAAGACTTTGGCCACCATTGCCTGCCTGCCTTTTTTGGGTTTTTAATACCTAGTTTCTCTGTGTAGCCCTGACTGTCCTGGTACTCTCTATATAGAGCAAGCTGGTGCTGTGTTATGTGTGTGTGCATGTATGTATGTGTTTAACCGTGACAGGACAATACTAATTTCAAACATCAGAGAAAGATCTTTGGACTGATATGAGGAAAGTCTTCCAAATTGTTTGTATTTTGTGTATACTGTTAAGAAAGACTGTTTTCCCGTCATTTATGGGTGTGTAACACATTTCCTAGCATTCATAGATGCCCTAAAACTAGAGTTACAGATATCTCTGACCCATGATATGGGTATTGGAAATTTAACACTCCATGTCCTGTGAAGAGGGGTCTGTCTCTCTTACTCCTGTTGTTTTGAGACAGTCTCACTATGTACTCTGCCTACCCTGGACTTGGCTCTATAGGTCTTGCTTGCCTCTGTGTTCCATAGCTGGGATTAAGATTTCTCCTACAACACCTAGACCTCAGAAAAATTTTATTAGACTTAGTTTTTCAATAATTGACTATTACATCCAGGCCCAGTGGTAGTGAACACCCTTCATCCCAGCACTTTAGAGGCAGAGGTATATGGATCTCTGTAAGTTTGAGGGCAGCCTATTCTACATAGGATACCCAGAGAAACTTGTCTCTAAAAACATGTTATTTTTAATTGTATGTGTCTGGGTCTATGCTACATATGTCCAGGTGCATGAGAAGGCCAGAAAAGAGCACCAGATTTAATGCTACTAGCAGTTCTGAGCTGTTAGACATGGATGCTAACAACTGAACTACATCCTTTGCAGTAGCTGTATAATTTGTTAACTATTGAGCTTTCTTTCCAGCACAAATGTTTTCTGTTATTTCTTATTCGTGGCATATTCTTATGGTCTTTTTCACTGTGAAAAGAGTAAAGCTGTGTCACTTAGTAGATGAAATTTTCTTAGCTGTAATTTTAAATCATTACTAACTATAAAATTACAAAACATACTATCTACCTATAAAAACTCTTTCAACATCATTTATATTAAAGAAGTTGATTTTTACAGAGACTCAACATCATCATTGACTTAACGCATTTGATTACTTTGTGGAACTTGTTATAATACTTTATTGGTTAATATGACATTTGTATCTGAACCAACAATAGCCTCATTTTTTTGTTTCATAAAAAACTTCCTCTTTTGTAGAGAACCCCCAGTAAGTATCTTAATAAATCAATACTAATTGATGTTTCTGATTTAGGTGCGATGTGCTGTGTATTCTTCTCCGTCACAGCAAGAATGTACGATTTTGGTTTGCTCACAATGTCCTATTTAATGTATCAAATCGTTTTTCTGAGTATCTCCTGGAATGTCCAAGTGCAGAAGTGAGAGGTACATTTGCAAAGCTTATCGTATCCATTGCACATTTTTCTTTGCAAGATGGATCTTATCCTTCACCCTTTTTATCACCTTTTGCAAGTCCAGCACCTTGTGGTCAGGTAATTGTCAGCTTCTCTGTAATAGTTAGTTAGTTAAAAATAAAATTTTGTGTCTTACAATTAAAATAATATTTATGTGTTGCATTTGAAATATTTACCATTCATCTAAATGTACATTGTAACACTTGCAGGTTTTTTAAATTATTTTATGCTAATGAAAATTTGTCACTGGGCACTTTGATATGGAAATTTCTACTCAGATATTGACTATATCTTCAGAATGTGTTTAAAGTTTGATCTTATAATCACAATATTTTTGTTAAATACCCTGTTGGGTTTGGTAAAGACAGATCACAATACATAGTTCAGACTTCTCTCGAACTTATATGCAATCAAACCCAGATTTATAAACTGTAACATTCCGTATGGTATGGTAGTGCATGCCTTTTTATTCTACTATTGAGGAGTCAGAGATAGGCAAGTCTCTGCTAGGTCCAAGCCAGTCTGACTTCCAGAATAGGTAGAGCTACATAGACCTTGTTTCAAAAACAAACCTTAACACCTTGTTAAGTATCCTTAACTTTTGTCTTAGCTAGCGTTTCTCTGGCTATGAAGAGACAGTATGACCATGACACTTATTATAAGGAACACCTTTAATTGGATAGCTGGCCTGTACAGTTGTTTGACTTAGTCCATTATTGGCATGGTGGGAAGCAAAACAAAATGCAGGCAGATGTGATGCTAGAAAAGTAACTGAGAGTTCTTATGTCTTGGCTTGCAGGCAACAAGAGGTGATGTTCTGAGACACTGGGCAGTATCTTGAGCATATATATGACCTCAGTGTGTGTGTGTGTGTGTGTGTGTGTGTGTGTGTGTGTGTGCGTGTGCGTGTGTGTGTGTGTATGTATGTATGTGTATATCTCCCCAGTGACACACTTCCTCCAAAGAGGCTATAAGGTCACATCTCCTTATAATGCTACTTCCTTTGTTGGCCTTTTCAAACAACCACGCACATATATTTTTGCTCTTTTATGAACAATACCAAGTGTGAAGGCTTGATGAAGTTCTTTATTTCCTGTTTGATAAACCTGAATTTTTTTCCATATACAGGAATGTAACCATTTTATGCCAACAAAAATACATCGATGTATGTAGCTGTTGATAGAATGTTGTTTTTCCAGATATGTGATAATTTGAACTTGAGTGATCATTTACTAAAAGCTGTATTAAATCTCTTGAGAAGGGAAGTTTCTGAACATGGGCGACATTTACAGCAATACTTCAGTTTATTTGTAATGTATGCCAGTTTAGGTAAGGAGTATACTTAATTCTTTTATTTATTTTTTTAAAGAGAATCATACATCAGAGTTGTATGTGGAAGTTCACACCTTTATTTTTTTTAATATTTATTTATTATGTATACAATATTCTGTCTGTGTGTATGCCTGCAGGCCAGAAGAGGGCACCAGACCCCATTACAGGTTGTGAGCCACCATGTGGTTGCTGGGAATTGAACTCAGGACCTTTGGAAGAGCAGGCAGTGCTCTTAACCTCTGAGCCATCTCTCCAGCCCCCACTTAATTCTTTTAATGATTGTTTCATGACTATGAAAATGAAACCATAAAGTTAATAATAATTATTCTTTTAAAGTATGTTATCATATCTTTAAAACCAATTGTAAATTTTCTAATTAATATTTTATGGTGCTTTTCATCTTATACCATAAGGTAACTTGTATTTAACCCTTTTAATTAAAAAACTATCTTGTGATAGAATTTATATTAGATTCTATAACTGATTCATGTTGCCTTTTGAAAGACTAATTCGAGCACTCCAGAGGCAGAGGTAGGCTGATCTTTGTGAGTCCAAGACCAGCCTGGTTTATAGCTAGGACTGCTACCCAGAAAAACCTTGTGTCAAAACCAAGGGGGAAATAAATAAGTAAATAGAGATTTAATAATTCTTTTTCTTTAGTTTCGAGTTAAGAAAATTGAGACAGATATCAAAGAGGAAAGAAGAGTATAAATATACTTTTTTGGCCAGGCAGTGGTGATGCACACTTTTAATCCCAGCGCTATGAGGCAGACACAGGTAGAGCTCTGAGTTCAAGGCAAGCTTGGACTTTTACACAGAGAAATCTTGTCTTGAAAAAACAAAAACAACAAAAATACTTCTTTACCCAAGGAATTTTTGCACTTAGTGAAAGAGACTGATAGTTCACACACAGAAAAAAAAATTGACTTGCCTTTTAATTTCTCCTTTTTTTCCTCTGCTAGAAAGTTTGTTAATTTCTTTTTTGACCTAGTGTAGTTAATAAGCTAGTATCTTTGAGGGCTGAAGAGTGGTTAAGGACACTTGTGAGCCTGGTTTGATTCCCGGGACTTACATGTAAACCCATTTCTTCCTTGGGGACTAAAACATGCTTGTTGGTTCACAGAAACAACGCAAGTGAAACTCTCATATTTATAAATAAATGGGAAAAACAAGACACTACTATCATGATAATTTCCTTTTTTAATACTTAGTGTTTAATATCAGTGTTTTCTGTCCACATTCTGCCTGTAGTTACCTATTTCAAAACTAATAGTGAGAATTTTATTCATAACTTACAAAGAACTGTCATTCAATTCATCCTTTTTCTTACAAAATGATCTTCCGTTTTTATAGGTTTGGCAGAAAAAGCTCAGCTTCTAAAACTAAATGTACCTGCTATCTTTATGCTTGTGTCTTTGGATGAAGGGCCAGGTCCTCCAATTAAATACCAGTATGCTGAGTTAGGTAAGTTATACTCAGTAGTATCTCAACTGATACGATGTTGCAGTGTCTCATCAAGAATGCAGTCTTCAATCAGTGGTAAAGTAGAATGCTTTATTGTGTAATAGTTTCAAAGTATTGTTAGCTGTGCATTATACTCCAAGTAATACTGAAAGTTTATAAAATAGAAGTCTGAAGTATGATGCATTTTTCATTATTTTTAGATGATAACTTTTTGGATTAGTTTATTGTTTGGGAGGAAGTTTTATTGTTTTATTTTTGCACAACCTCTCTCCCCTCCACTCTCTCTCGCATATGTTCCCTTTTTATCACTCTCTCTCTCCCATTTCCCCTTTCCCTCCCTTCCTTCCTCCTCTCTTGCTTAGGCCTAGAATTCACTATGTAGTCTTTTTTTTTTTTATTGAGAAAAAAAAATTTCCGCCTCCTCCCAGCCTCCCACTCCTCCCCCCTCCCCCCACTCCTCTCCCCATCCCCCCAATCTTCTCCCCCTCCCTCTCAAGTCTGAAGAGCAGACAGGGTTCCCTGCCCTGTGGAAAGTCCAAAGTCCCCCCACCCATCCTGGTCTAGGAAGGTGAACATCCAAACTGGCTAGGCTCCCACAAAGCCAGAACATGAAGTAGGATCAAAACCCAGTGCCATTGTCCTTGGCTTCTCAGCAGCCCTCATTGTCCGCCATGCTCAGAGAGTCCGGTTCTATCCCCTGCTTTTTCAGTCACCGTCCAGCTGGCCTTGGTGAGCTCCCAACAGATCAGCCCCACTGTCTCAGTGGGTGGGTGCGCACCTCATGGTCCCGACTTCCTTGCTCATCTTCTCCCTCCTTCTGTTCCTCATTGGGACCTTGGGAGCTCAGTCCAGTGCTCCAGTGTGGGTCTCCGTCTCTATCTCCATCCATCGCCAGATGAAGGTTCTATGGTGATATGCAAGATATTCATCAGTATGGCTATAGGATAGGGCCATTTCAGGTTCCCTATCTTCAGCTGTCCCAGGAACTAACTGGGGACCTCACCTTGGGCACCTGGGAGCCACTCTAGGATCAAGTCTCTTCCCAACCCTAAGATGGCTCCCTTAATTAAGATATGTGCTTCCGTGCTCTCCTATCCAACCTTCCTTTATCCCAATCACCCCGTTGCCCCAAGTTCTCCCCATCCTACCCTTCTCACTTTTCTCTCCCCATCTCCCCTTACCCCCCTCCCACCCCACCCTTAAGATCCCGATTTTTTGCTTGGCAATCTTGTCTACTTCCCCTACCCAGGAGGATAGCTATATGTTTTTCTTTGAGTTCACCTTCTTATCTAGCTTCTTTAGGATATCCAATTATAGACTCACTGACCTTTATTTATGGCTAGAAACCAATTATGAGTGAGTACATCCCATGTTCATCTTTTTGGGTCTGGGTTACCTCACTCAGGATAGTATTTTCTATTTCCATCCATTTGCATGCAAATTTCGAGAAGTCATTGTTTTTTACCGCTGAGTAGTACTCTAATGTGTATATATTCCTCACTTTCTTCATCCATTCTTCCATTGAAGGACATCTAGGTTGTTTCCAGGTTCCGGCTATTACAAATAATGCTGCTATGAACATAGTTGAACAAATGCTTTTGTCATATGATTGGGCACTAACTGAGTTGTAACTCACAACAATTCTCCTGACTCAGCTTCTCACATGTTGGAACTACAAGCTTTAGACAGTATTACCATCAAAAAAATGTTAGCTTATTTATGTTTTAAATTGGTTTCTTTTAATCCAGCTACTAATAAATAGCTTTTAGTTTACTATATGTATTCATATATGTGCTATAGCATATGAGTGAAGAAAATCATCAGGATCCTATTCTCTCACCTAATTCACAAAATTAGAATGATAAAAAGATTAGCATGGCCCCTGCTCAGGAAGGACATACAAATTTCTGAAGTATTCCAAGCCTTTTGAAGATTATTTTTCTCACTTCCAGAAACTACCATTTAAGATCTATAATTTGATCACTTTATCGAATGTATACTACTGTGCTTTATAGAGAGTGTAAACATCAGATTTCATTGTTTGGAATAATCTTTTATTACAATTTTGAGGTTTTTCATTAATGACAAATATGTTGCAGGTAATTCCCCTCTTCCAAATCCTTTTGGTGACCCAAATTTGTCACAGCCCATAATGCCAATTCAGCAGAATGTGGATGACATTTTATTTGTAAGAACCACTTATGTGAAGAAAATTATTGAAAACTACAGCAACTCAGAGGAAACAGTCAAGTTACTTTGCTTCTGCTGCTGGGAGAATCCCCAATTCTCATCTTCTGTTCTCAGCGAACTGCTTTGGCAGGTAAAGCAAAATAAAAATATCTACTTTTATTCATAGTCCTTTAAATGCAATCTAACTGTGCCTTAAACTATTTTTAGATTGCATATTCATATACATATGAACTTCGGCAACATTTGGATCTACTCTTGCAAATTATTCTGATGGAGGATTCCTGGCAAACTCATAGGTATGGTACACCTCTATTCTAACAGCATAATTAGCTTCACAAGTTCTTGGAAAAATTGCACCTGACAGTGAAAAAGTGTACTTCTACTTTTTCCTTGTTCAGTTAAGTGGTTATTAAATTTTATTTACATTTCAGTTAAGAAAAATTCTATTGCAATCTTGTTTTTAGATTAGAAATGTTAGATTGCATAAATTATTAGTAGTTTCAAATTGTCACCCAGTTTATCATAAATTTCAATGTGATTATCAACTGTTTTCAGAACAGTACCTAGAATTAATAACAAAAAGCATTCAATAAATCAACTAATGTTAAAGAAATTTCAAGAGCCAAAAAAAAAGTTACCATGAAACAAATGTTGTGAAACTCCTTTCACTAACTTTCCATAATTTTCAATTGTTTATTTTGGTTGGTGTTACAATTTTTGTTTCTTTTGATTAACATTGATGGGTTTTACTAATACTACCTACTTTTCAAAAAGAAACTATATTTACCTCAAAAGGATTGATTTATGCACAGAAATCATTTTAAATTATTGGCTTTGAACAAATGTGGTGATTTGGGAAACAGTGGCAGATAGATCTCTTTGACTTTAATGCTAGCCTGGTCTGTTAGTGAGATAGAAAGAAAGAGAAAAGAAAAGTGCATTTCTTCTAGGTGTTACAATTTTGTCTTGTTTTGGGATCTTTTCAGAATTCATAAAGCACTTAAAGGAATTCCAAATGATCGAGATGGGCTGTTTGATACAATTCAGCGTTGTAAGAATCACTACCAAAAAAGAGCATATCAGTGTATTAAATGCATGGTAACTCTCTTTAACAGTTGTCCTGTTGCCTACCAAATCTTACAGGTAAAAGTCTTTTTTTTTAAATAGTTTTATGAAGTTCTGACTCAAAATTTCCAAAGAAAACACAGTTTGGGAGTTCCCATTTTAGGTTGAAATAGTAAATTTAATTTCCTAATGATTTTTGGTTTTTTGTTATAGGACTTCTCTTTCTCATGTCCCTAGCTGTCCTGGAACTCACTCTAGACCAGACTGGCCTTGAATTCTCAGAGATCTGCCTGCCTCTGCCCCTCCCCCGAGTGCTGGCATTAAAAGGCGCACACCACCACTGCACAGCTAATTTCTTAATTCTTTTTTTTTAAATATTTATTTATTTATTATGTATACAATATTCTGTCTGTGCAGGCCAGAAGAGGGCACCAGACCCCATTACAGATGGTTGTGAGCCACCATGTGGTTGCTGGGAATTGAACTCAGGACCTTTGGAAGAGCAGGCAATGCTCTTAACCTCTGAGCCATCTCTCCAGCCCCCTAATTTCTTAATTCTAAACATATAGTTTTGTTTTTCTATTTAAGGGTAATGGAGATCTTAAAAAGGAATGGACTAGGGCAGTTGAATGGCTCGGAGATGAACTTGAAAGAAGAACATATTCTTGTAATCCTCACTGCACTTACAGCAATTCTTCTCCTCCAATACAAAGCAATGAAACATCAGACGGTTATTTTTTAGAGAGATCTCATAGTGCAAAAATGACACTTGCAAAAGCCTGTGACCTGTTGCCAGAAAAGGTAAGAAATAAGTTAAAAGACATTAGTTGATAAAAGACGTAAAAACATGAATGAAAAGTTACTGATTTATAAGGCAATGTCCATGTATTGTGATTATGTAAAATTTAGATTATTCTTCTATTTGTTTTTCATTAACGGAATTCATACATTAGAACAATTTAGCTAGGTCTAGGGAGAGTTAACATCTGGACACATTACAAGTCCAAGGCCAGCCTGGGAAACATGAAACAAAGAAAAATAAAAAAAAATAGTTAACTACGGATTGAACAGTTTTATGAGATTTTTTAAAAAAGATTTCAGGAAGAGGCACTTCTGGAAAGACAGTCATAATATTAAGCCAAGAGTGTTATATAGTTCAGTTCTTTTAAGAAAGTCATTCTCAAATGTAGTCTAACCGTGGCTTGAAAGTACTTAATTAGAACCTTAAAGATTTTATGTTCTGACTCTATAAATGATGGTGCATGACTGTAGTTTTCATATTTCCCACATACAGCTGTGGAAATATTCTAGCTGAAACCATCCTGATCTACATAGGAAAATTCTTTCTCCAAAACAGACATGTTTGGCAAGTTCTCCAGTGATGCTATAAGAGCCATACTTGGAATGCCTTTATTTTTATCAGAGTTAGACATAGAAAAGTCTTAAATGCTTCCTCTCTATAAATATAAAACAAAGAAAATTGTTCAAAGATTTATATATACTTACTTTTTCAGATGGGACTTTAACATAGGAATCAGTCTGTAAGTTCTTTGTTTAACAACTACGTGAATTTAATAAAACAGGTTGTAGTAACATTTTTAAATCTGCTTTAAAAAGCTTGAACATATGGTTTAAATTTTAAATTGTAATATTTGAAAAGTTTGAGCTGAAAATTTCTTTCCCCTCCTAGAATTATGTACCTGAACAGCCATATTCAAATCGAGGAGCACATCTCTTGAATAACCCTCAGAAAAACGATGAACCACAAGAAACTTATGAAAGCAATGAAGAAGTATCTTCACCCCTAACAAAGGATCAGTGACACACAAATAAATAACTGGTTTGTTGTGTCAGTGCATTTTGGCCTTATATGCAGAGCTTTTTCTGTGCCTGCTTAGTATTTAAAAGTATAAAAAGAGATTCCAAATAAACATGGAGTTGGAAGTATTTGTTGTGTTTATTGTGATTATATAAATCACCTACTGTGGAATATGTATAGTGTTTTATGATGAATGCCAGTACTAGTGTGCAAAAGATAAAATGTACAAAATATATTATTTGACATTAATTCTCATTCTCAAAAAAGTAACGAATATGCATCTTTTTGCTTTACTACAATGTGTAGAAGCATAATAGAAGAGCTGTACTTGATATTTTTCTATTGTAGAGGAACTGTACTGATTTTTTTATTATTTTGTAGAGTTTATTAGATTAGGCTTCTAAACGTGCTTCCTCAGTCTTATAATTAAATGGCTATCATCAGATTCCACAACATTTTGAATTGTCATTTTCCAAAATATCTGGCTTATTTTCTTGTTATCCTCAGTCATGCTTCGAAGCACCATTTTTCTTTGTCCATTCATAAAATCTGTTCTTTTGAGATAGAGGAGAGGCTTCAGTTAAAACAGAAACTACTTAATTAAAATAATTCTGAGTTGTTGTTTGTTATTTAAGATTCTCAGATTAGTACTATTTTTAAAGTGGTAACTTTTTATTATATATAGTATTTTGGAAGCTCTCTTCACACTAAATATTTCCACAAGCAATACAACATACTTAATGAAAATTTTGCCGCTTTGTAGAAATTTTGCTGGATTCATAAATAAAGATTGGGAAAATTTATTCTGTTTTATTTCTTGGTGCTTTATTAATATCTACACATTTTCACAGACTATACATTTAATTTTATTCATAGCATGCTCTGGTGTGACATTGACCTAACATTTCAGACACATTAAGCTCTAGTATAAAGATTTGCTCCATTAAAAAAAAAACAAAATTATTACTACTATTTAAATTTCCTTTTGTAATCATACTTTTATATGGTGAATTCTTATTACTAATAACAGTTGTGCAGTTAAAAACTACCATGAACACTGAATTAGTTAATAGGCATTTTATACAACTAATACTTCAAATGACCATAGTCTTTAACCTGTAACTTGATGTGCCTGTTTGATATAGTTGATATATTCCTTGGCCCATTGTTAAACAGAATGGGCCAGAATGTACCTTAATCTAAAAAACGGCAAATTATTGATAAAATTTTTGAAAATATTACCCCCTTTGTTCATGGTCATTTGCAGATTTCTTCTCTGTTCAGTAATCCAAATAATTCTTAATATTTTGTTTCATGTGGGACAAAAAGGAATAAATATCCACATTCAGCCCTTTTGTATTTCCATGGTACTTTCATGAGATGAAAGGCATCACCACCACCAACACCACCAGCAGAGATGTTATTTTTGTTTTGTGACTCACAGCTCTTTGTTTTTCAAGGAAAAAGTTAAGGATATAACTTAGTATGTTGAGACACAATATTCTTGGGAAGTCAAGAGCAAGCAGTTACTCACTCTTGATAAGGAAACAGCCACAGACCAAAATAATGAGACCACAAGAATCTAACTTGGTGAACTGATGTAGTGCTTTGAGGTTAACTTACAATTAACTACAGAGATTAATTAACTTGTAGCAGAAATGACTTACCCACCCCATCCAAAACCTAGAGCACACTGCACGGCCTGTACTTAGTGTGTCTTCCAGATCATTTAGCTGGTCTAAGCTTCTTTGAGCAGCTTATATATTTTGAGTGTCTCTTGTACATTACTGCTTATACAATTCCTGGAAAACCAGTGTCTAGTTTCACATACCTTGTTTTTTTTTCCCTGACAGATCTACAAATGACTAGCACTGTCCTAGCTACTTTAGCTGTAATCTTTTTTTCCAATAATTAATTTTTAAGATTAGACTGGTTTTGCATAGACAGGTGTTTTGAACATTTCTATTAGCACTGGTTACTAAAGTTTAATTTTAAAAAGAGGGTTCAGTTGTAACAAAGCAAAAGAACAAATCCAATCACCATGTTAAACACTTAAAATTTCTCCTGTCAAAACCTAGAGTTACCAGAGTGCCTGATGGTTATCTAAAATCATTTTTACTGAGACATATTAACTGAGCACTTTCGAAACATCTTGACAGGTAGCTATCATTGAAGATGAAGGCTCATTCTCCTATTAAAAGATACAAAAGAATTACAATGGTTCTCAACCTTCTTAATGCTGCAACTCTTTAATACAGTTCTTAATGTTATGGTGATCCATAACCATAAAAAAATTTTCATTGTTACTTCAAATTTGCATTTCATTGTTACTTCAAATTTGTTTAAGAGACCCCTGTAAAAGGGTTGTTAACCCACAATGGGGTCATGAGCCACAGCTTGTGAACCACTATTTTAGAAAGTAGTTTATTTGACAGAGCTTAAATCCATGTTTCTTAAGAACTTTTCTGGATGTACTTTTCTGTGTCTTGGTTTTACATTAGCTTGTAGACAGAACTTTCTGTCCCTCACATTCCCACAGCCATTCAGTCACAAATTAATACATCGAGGGTTATGTTAATTATGAACTGTTTGGCCTATTCAGGCTTATTACTAACAAGCCCTTACAACTTAAATTTGTTTGGGCTTATTACTAACTAGACATTACGACTTAAATTAATCTGTAATTATTTTCTATGTTTAGCTACATGGCTTGGTACATTTTCATCTTGCTTCCTCTGCATATGGCTTTCCTATTCCCCAGAATTTTTCTAATTTGGTTGTCCCATCTATACTTCCTATCTGGCTACTGGCCAGTCACCATTTTATTAAACCAATATGAGTGACAAATCTTTACAGTGTACAAGAGTATAATCTAACATCATTGGTTTATGATATATTGCCCTCTTAAGATCTTTTTTCACCTGAGGTTTATAAGACAAAAGATTATTTTGCCTAAGGAAATACATTACCTACAAGGCAAAATTGATGATATTAACTTGACTTTTGCCCCTGTATAATTTTTCGTAAGCTAATACTTGTCTACCTCCTAAAGGCATTCCACTCTTTAAAAAGCCAACTTGTACCATTTGAAGAGATCAGGGAAGACATCCCTGCAACTTTCCACGTCATAGAAAATTCAGAACACTGCTATAGCCTAACATCAATGACTAATTTTAACCAATACTTGCTCCTCTGTGTTCTTAATTTTGTGCACTATGGTGAACCTATATCATGCGATGTCATATTTCCCACCAACCCCGAAAATTTGTAAAACTGATTTTTCTTAGTTCTGGATTTAAGACTGGATTGGTTCTCCAACCTTAACCCTTGCCATCTCATGGCAGCTGTTAGGAAGGCTTTAAAAAAAAAAAGAAAGCCTCTCTACACTTTAATGTGACATCATGTTTAGGTTCCCATATATGCTGTTGTTTCTGTTAATCATCTCATATTTTAAGGTCCAGTCATGGCCAGGAGGCCATTTCTTCTAAACTACAGGCTTTGAAGAAAATGATTTGCTAGCTTTCATTTCCCAGACAGATCATCTGCTGATGTTTGGTTTATTGTATTTCACATTCAAAAGTCAAATTTAATAATTATACTGGAGGTTCAATCTCAGCTCTGCGTCTGGCCTAATGCCTGGATCAGATTGTCTAATAAAATAAGTTGCTGAGGCAGGGGCTACACCGCCCAATACCTTCTCTCCCCATCCCATCCAGCTTACATCCAGATCCCCCCACCCCCTGTCTTCCCCCCCCCTCCCTTCTTTGGCAGCATAGCACCTTCGAGCTCAGCCTGCTTGGGTGCTGGGACCGAACCCGAATCGGGAGGGCAAAGAGGAGGGCAGTAGTTCCTTTGTCTCCATAGCCTGCAAGCAGCAAGCAAGGTAGGCGCTTTGTTTACGAGCTACCCAACCAGCATGGAGATCATCACTGGAGCACAAGGAGAGTCATCACTGGAGAGCCCCGACACTGGGACGGTACATCAGTAGGCAAGGAGACCTGATCCTGTAAAAGAAGATCCATAGGAGACAATTCGGAGGAAGAGATGGGCAGGCGCCAATGCAAGAATTCACCCAACAATCTGAAAAACAACATGAAACCACCAGAACCCAGCGACCTCACAACAGGAGGACATGAACACTTTAATCAAGAAGAAGTAGAAAAAACTGACTTTGTGAAAGTGATAGAGGCCCTTAAACACCATGTAAAAAATGCCTTTATACAAATGGATGAGAATTATAACTGAAAGTTTGAAGAATTGAGTAAATCAGTGAATGATACCCTAGAAAACCAAGAAAAAACAATTAAGCAGATAATAGAAACAGTTCAAGACTTGAAAACTGAAGTGGAGGCAAAGAAGAAAACACAAACAGAGGGCCGGCTGGACATGGAAAATCTAGGTAAATGCATAGAGACTACAGAAACAAGCATAACCAGCAGAATACAAGATAGAAGAAAGAATCTCATATTCTGAAGAAAACAGAGAAAATAAATGCACTGATGAAAGAAAACAGCAAGTCCAACAAACTCTCATCACAAACATTCAGGAAATATGGGACACAATAAAAAGACCAAACCTAAAAATAATTGGAGTAGAAGAAGGAGAAGTACAGCTCAACGGTCCAGAAAATATACTTAATAAAATTATAGAAGAAAACTTTCCCAACCTGAAGAAAGATGTACATATGATGGTTCAAGAAGTATGCAGAACAACGAATAGGCTGGATCAAAAAAAAATCCCCTTGCCATATAATAACCAAAACACAAAGTATACAGATAAGGAAAGAATATTAAGAGCTGCAAAGGAAAAAGGCCAAATTACTTGTAAAGGTAAACCTATCAAACTTACACCTGACTTCTCTATGGAAACCATGAAAGCCAGAAGGTCCTGGATAGATGTACTGCAGAAACGAAGAGACCATGGATGCAAGCCCAGACTACTGTACACAGCCAAGCTTTCATTCACTATAAATGGAGAAAACAAAATTTTCCAGGATAAAAACAAATTTAAACAATACGTAGCCACAAATCCAGCCTTACAGAAAATGTAGAAGGAAAATCACTAACGAAGGAATCCAACAATGACCACAATAACTCAGACATCTAGAGACCCTTCACCAGCTCAAATCAAACAACGGAAACACACAAACCCTACGACTAAAAAAGTGACCAGTGTTAACATCCATGAGCATTAA